ACACACACACACACACACACACACACACACACACACACACACACACACACACACACACACACACACACACACACACACACACACACACACACACACACACACACACACACACACACACACACACACACACACACACACACACACACACACACACACACACACACACACACACACACACACACACACACACACACACACACACACACACACACACACACACACTAACTTCCCTGCCAGGCTCAACTCTTACCCTTTCACTCCATTGATTCTACACCTCTCCCTCGGAGTGTGCATTTAATAAGACCATAGCACCTTTTAATCCTTTTTCCGATATACACCTGGACAAACTCTCCTGAACCTTGATCCCTCGGTTCATGTTGACCCTGAATAAACCGATTAATTTGTAAATGAAACATTGGTCTCAGTAACAATCTGTGAGCATGGTAAGAGGGTATCCTAACCTACCCTCTAGGATGAGGTTCTGCAGTGGCCGTTCCTCTGTGAGAGGCAGTGCCACGTGTGACCCTTGGGCTCATTCACAAATGTCTCCACACTGAAGTGGGGGAAAGGTCATGGAAGCACCTGACAGCCGGTAGCCCTGATACCAGCCCGGGACACACACCTTCACTAACCTCTCCACTCTCAGAGAAACGTTTAGTGGTCATAAACACACCTGATTCTTTAGTCATAAGCTGATGTTGAACACTTGGGAGGTCAGGCTGCAGCCCAAGCCCCTCAGTGCCCAGTACAGGTGGCTTATTGGAGAGCGAGGGACTGTAGTCTGAAACCCTGTGCCTTCAAGGGAGGGTGCTCCTCTCCCATACATCCCTGTCACTCATACACAGACACACAGACAAACAGACACACACAGTTCAAGGGGGTTTGGAAGCTCTGAATTTTTGTTTCAGTTTGGCAACCCAGATGGGACACTTTTCTCTGCCCAGCTGCAGAAACCTCCGAAACCTCCGAATCGGCGACCCCCTAGGCTGGCCCCAGAGGGTTTTCTGGAGGGACTCACTTTTTCTGCGGATCCACGAGGGAGCTGACAAGGACCTCTGGGAACTATAAGGCATTCTCTCTGAGATCGGTCATTTTTAGGGCAGCCCCGTAACTCGCAGTTTGTGACAACCCCGCAAGGTGGCGAACAAGTGCAGACACAGCTCTGGTTACGGTCGATTGTGCATTTCTGTCTGGTTGGTAACTAATAGTGTATTGAAATTGCATTTGTAAGAGGTTCAGCGCACGTGAGTGTCCTTCTGGTTCAGCATAGATGAGTGTGCTTGTGGTTAGACATTGATTTCCTGGTAATCAGACTCGGCAAATGTTATTTTACATTGTGAACTTGGCAAATGTTATCTGGATATTGAGTTATTATTGAAAATATTGATTTTCGGTTTGGGACTGTTAGTAGGAATTGCATTGTTTTATTTTATGGGAATGATTGAAAGATTTGTGAATTAAATGTCTGAGTGACTGAGTCGCAGTCTAACTGAGATGTGAGTGAAACATTGTTTTGGAAAGCTTAATTGTTTTAATTGTTTTATGTTGTTGCTGTAAGAAAACTCCCGCGTGTTGTGTTATATAATGGGGAGCAGCAGAGTGGAGGATCTTTATAGAAAAGTCCCTTGGATTGCATTTTTACCAATTGGAAAGAGATAGGGGGACCACCAGGTGAAATTGTGGATTAAAACTTTGATAAAATACTGTAATTGGTGGTGGCCATTGTTTAAGTTGGAAGATAGGAAGAAGTGGTCTTTTAATGGAATTTTGGAATTATAATATATTTGAATTATAATACTGTATTGCACTAAATTTTATTTGGGGACGTTTTTAATTATAGCTGTAATAAGTTTGTGTGAGTAATGTCCATACCGTGACCCCTGTCCTTGTATCATATAAGCTCTTAAGTTTAGAATGAGGGTCCCCTGATTGCTTAACTTGGTTCCTAGGTATTTGTGCTTTTGCTACAAGCCTATAGTTTCTGTCTTTGTGATTTGATTAAGATTAGTCTGGTTATGGTCATTTTGGTCTTTTGAATTACTTACTTTGTCATTGCACTATGGTTTTTGCTTCCGTGTATTTATTGGTATCTGACTAAAATGGGAATTTTTTTTTAAAGAGTCTAATGGTGGTATTTTTAAAAAAGTCTAGTTGTTTGACTTTTCTCTGGTAACTGTTAAAAAGTGTTGTTTAGATTGTGTCTGATATTGTCTTTTTGTTTCACTTGTGTCTTGTATTTGTGTTATTAAAATGGATAATGTGTCCTCAACAGGATGTAACATTACCAAATGCTCACCATTAGGATGTATTCTGGGGACTGGAATAAGTTTGGGAGCAAGCCCTTGCCTGGGAAAAATTCGATAATTTGTAGATTATGCTGAACCAGAAGGACAGTCATGTGCGCTGAACCTCTTACAAATACAATTTCAATACACTATCAGTCACCAACCAGACAGAAATGCACAATTGACCGTAACCAGAGCTTTGTCTGCACTTGTACGCCACCTTGCGGTGTTCTCACGAACTGCGACTTACCGGAGCAGCCTTAAAAATGACCGATCTCAGAGAGAATGCCTTATAGTTCCCAGAGGTCCTTGTCTGTAACCTGTATCCTATGACTATCAGTCTTACACTCCAGCGTCCCATTCTTAGGCCACTTAGCACCATCCTCCAACTTATACAAAGGTCACCACAGATGACAATACTTTATCAGGTCCCTCACTAACACTGCCTCCCAGAACACCATCCAGGTCTTTCTAATTATCCAAAATAGATCCCAGCAGACCTTCCTTTAAAATTCCCCCACTCTGTTGTCCACCCATTCTATGACACAGGATCCTACAGCTACCTTTTACAAGAAAAGAAAAACAATATCAAACAATAAGACAATATCAGACAAACAGCAGCTGCAATTAAAACAAAGTAACTGCATCACATCTGGCGCTTTATCCTTCTCCAGCTGTTCCCCTCACAGGGTGACGAGACTGGGGTTTGGAACTCCACACTCGCTTCGGGACTTGGTCTCATTTTACTCAATTCACACTCACACACAGAAACCAAATTCTGAGGGGGTCTTAACTTGAACAGTTAAGCCAAGCAAGTTGGAATACAGAGATCATGCAAAGTCTCCAACCTGTCTTGGGTCAGAGATAAACAAAGCAAGTCTTATACCAAATGAGGGACTAGTCACCAAGTACATAATTATCAAAAGAATACCTTTATAAAAATGCCAGTGATCCTTGTCTACCCCTATGGTGAACCAAGTGAGCGAGGAGACCCTCAGAGAAAATCTCTGGGGTGCCCAGGGTGTACTGTACCCATCTGAGTCCCACAGGGGGAAGAGTGTCCTGCCCAGACCCCTCCAGGAGGTATCTCTAGCACTTGAAGTACCTTCAGATACCTCCAGGCTCCACAGATCATTGCTTGTCTCTCAACTTCAACTCTGAGGTATTTCTGAGAAATCCTCCCAAATAAGTTAACAGAGCAATGAGTCACCAATAAGCAGGACTTCTTTATTGCAGCACCGGGTGTCTAGGTGATCTTTACTCCCAACGGCACACCAGGCGGGCTTTCTTCCCACAGTATCTATAAATCAGATATGCATATTCATTAGAAATCTGAGAACCCTCTTACATATACATGACTTTCCTGATAACTCATTATCATACTGTCCAGCCTACACACACTTTTGGCTCTTTGTGGTCTTGAAGATCTCTGGTGGATGTTTACTTCATCATCTTCAACTTCAACTATCCTTCTGGTGAACTCAGCTGAAGGCCCCAGTCCTTCTTGGTCTTCTTGCTTGGGCATCTTGTTCCCATTATTAAATCCTGTTAGCTTTAGAGATACATTCTTGTGGTTATCTGCACAGAGCTTCGGAGCCTGCCTAAGCACTGCTATTTTATAGGTTTAGCATCTCAGAAACGACACATATTACAACAACCCTGTTTCAATCCTCTGTATGGCTCCTGCCAATAAAGTCTGAACAAAGTAAATGCAAATTCTGTCTTCCCACATCTAAAACAATCCACAAATGGTATCGAGCCTCACATTAGTTGTGTGTCTGTGTATGTGTGAGTGTGTCCCAATTTTCCAGGGCAGAGTTGGAAATTGAAGAGCAGAGAACAACTCCTAAATTCCCCAAAACAGCACCCTAGAGGACAAAGGCATTTTTAATCTCAAAAAAGACCCAATCCCACCTCACTGTGCCTTTTTCCTTGTATATCCCCTCACAAACTCACCCTAAATCTCTTCCTATGGGTATTTTCCCCCCTTTGAAAAACAGCTGGAGTCCCTCCTGACACATCTGCTTTGTCCCTTGAGGAAGGTGTCACTACGATAAAGACTTAATTTTAATCTCATTTTGGTAAAGAAAAAAATGTTATTACAAAAATAATAAAATGTAGGAACCACATGAAGTGGTTCCTGAGCTGATGCCATTATACGATCCATGAGAAGCTGGAGAAAGCATCACTAGTGGGACAAAGCTTGGAAAATAGGGTGATCTTGACTGTGCCCCTTCATTCTTGGTGATACCTGAGGTGAATCATGCCACGATGAATGAGATCTGCCTTCTGGTAAAACCTCTTCTTGCTCTGGGAGCAGTGGAAGGGTAATTCAAACATATGACGTCGCTTATGATTCAACAAGGAGGAGCAGTTTCTGAAGCTCTTCTGGCACTGGGGACATGTGTAGGGTTTCTCACCCGTGTGGATGCGATAATGGTGGATGAAGGAAGAGCTCTTGCCAAAGCACTTCCCACAGTCAGGACACTTGTATGGATGTTCACCTGAGTGGACCCGGAGGTGAGAGGTGAGGCCCAAGGTGCACACGAAGCTCTTCCTACATTTGGGACACACGTAGGGTTTTTCCCAGAGTGGACATGTTGGTGACACATCCAAGAGTCACTCTTACAGAAGCTCTTCCCACACTGAAGGCACTTGTAGGACTTCTCACCCATGTGGATTGTGTGGTGTTAAGTTAACATGGAATTGCTGGCAAAGTTATTTTCACACTCCAGACAGCTGAAGGGTCTCTCACCTGTGTGAACTCGTTGGTGCCAGGTTAAATTTCATCTTCTGTTAAAAGTTTTCCCACAGTCGAGGCAGCTGTGGGACATGGCACAGGGGCACGGGTGTCACTGTGGGACCAGACACGAGGTGGCTCAAACAGGCAGCCCCTATAGGGCCAGTTGCCACTATGGATGAGCGGAAATGGGCTGGGTGCATCTCCTCCTGATGGTGGAGGTGGGACGGATAGATCCTGACCCTTTCCTGGGTTCCTCACCAAGTTCTTCTCACACGTGGACTGGATGATGTTTCACCAAAGCTGAACCATGACCAAAAGCTCTCCAGCATTTGGGGCACTTGGATAGATCCAACAACGGGTCAACAGAGCTGAATTTTGGTTCAAGCTGTGGCCACCCTCAGGGCACTTCAAGTGATTGCAGCGCAGCTGAGGAAAACCAAACCTGCTTAGGGAGAAAACATGGTGCAAGGAGAAATGGGGGCATAACCCATGGAATTGGACACCACCACCCATTCTTAACAAGGCAAATGGGGCTACACTGACAATTCAAAAGTCTGAAGTGGGGGGACTCTGGGTGTGGGGTCCTTGGGAAGTGCTGGGGGTGACAGCCACTCCGGGGATGAGTTGGGCTACTCCCATTTCACCTACCCTCTACAAGATAACTTGGGCATCCTCCAGTTGCAGCAACCCCACTCCTGGGGCAATGTAGGGGTCTCCTTCTAGGACAAAAGACCTTGTAGATGTCTATGATATTCTGGTTTGGTTTGAAGTGGGTGTTGGCAGGGACCCAGAGGTGGCCCCTGTAAGAAGATGTAAAGCTCCCCCATCTCCAAAAACTGCAATCACAGCTCTGGTCAAGGCCGACGCATCAGAGACCAGGGATGAGCCTCTGCCACTGAGATATGAAAGGAGGGGAAACCTGGGAGCAGAGGAGAGGGGGAGGTGGAGAACTCTGTGGAGCCCAATGAGAGCAGCACTGGGAGCAGCGCTGGAGCAGAGATACCAAGGGCGGGGAGGAAGGAGGGGGAGCAGGTGCC